TCCAGGATCCCAATATTTCCCCGGATCCCCATATTCTTTTTCTTTTCCCAGGTTCCAAAACTTCACGTGGTCTCCAGTAATGTCTGTCGGCACTTTCGGCGTTTTCAGGATTGTTTCTGTCAAAGCCAATCTTGCTTTGCGGATTTCACGGAGTTATTTTTCAAAAGCTCCCCGAGAATCTTGCAAATCTCTACGGTTAATTTGAAATTCACCGGATTTACTTATTCCTCTTATTTGTGTATAAATATGTTACTAACGAAATTTTCTTTGCAGAATACACCCAGTTCTCATTTCTCTCTATATCCAATGATGCAATATCCAATTGTTTTTCCTATCAGTGAGCACTCGATGTGCTTGAGAAGCGAGACTATCTCTGATCATATTTCGGCGACATTAGGGAACTGTGAAGGCGACCACTCGATGTGCTTGAGAAGCGAGACTATCTCTGATCATATTTCGGCGACATTAGGGAACTGTGAAGGCGACCACATGCTCCAATCTCCTGAAGTTCTTTTAGACCAGGAGAAATGAGAGTTTATTGTCTGCGCTCATCAGCTTCCTCACCTGATTGCTTACCTTATCTTGCAATTAATATCATAATTTTTGCATTTTTTCTCTTTTTATAACTCTCTGTTTATAAAGGATTTTATTTTGTTTAGAATGAACATCCGAAGAAAGAATCCTAACTCTGAGGGTTATTTGTTTTGAACAGAGGGAAGAATTGTGATTTTTGCTCTTGCAGGATATAACTAGATCATCAAGCGTCACGTTATATTTGCAGAGCTGATACGAGCTTGAATGATACTTGAGAAAAGTTTCTCCCACCTAATGATGTAAGAAATACTTTTGTTATTTCATGCTTGTACTATTATTTTGATATTTTGTACTACATCCTTAAAGGTAACCAAATGAGGAGATAAGGCAGTTCCAGAAGAACGACTTATATTATGACCATTCTAAAGGAATGGCTTGTATCGTTCTAATATGTATCCATGAATTATTAATGCAAATTTCACAGATTGCAAATTGGATACATTGATAATACACTGCACAGATTAAAGTCTCATAAGAATAGAATATGGGTATAGCAGTGATCAATATGATGCACGCCTGTTGCGTAGCAAGTGATATGGATTGAATTCCCTGAAGGACAATCCTGTAACATGTCAATAGTGATACAGTGCACGCTTGATGCGTAGCAAATTATATGGTTTCAAGTTCCAGAAGGACAATTAATTGACATGTATGTATTAATCTGTGGCATGCCTGTAGCATGACAGATATATGGGTTCTAAATGTTCCAACTCCTTAAATGGAGATTATCCACGCCCTACTGTAAAATAACGCTCTACTGGAGGTTATGATCCACATTCTCACATAATTCATTCTATAAGATATGCCTGTCTGGAAAGAGACAGTAAAAGCCCCTTGAAGTGGCTCGGGTACCCAAAAGCAAAGAAACGCTTATAATTGATGCATGCGCATGCACATGAGAATGGTGGGATCATGAATTGATGAATAAAATTTTTGGTTTTGGAGTAGCTACTCAAATCATCAATGGGCTGTGTTGATTGGAACCACGTTCTATTATTAAATGTCGACAATATCATTGGCCAAAATGGAAAGAGGCAATTCCATTACAGATGAGAATGAACGTGAAAGAACAAACCCATAGTACGAACCCCAAAAGATGTTATACTGAAAGATATACTTGGGTGTTCAGAATAAATGGGAATATACCCATTTTGTATGACACAATGTTTCTGGCAGAAACAAGGAATGTTGGGTTTCTCCATATTTACAGATGCAATTGTGCCTTCCTATTGCACATTTACGGAGACCAACATATTATCTTTAAGGGTTATTAAATGCACGGAGCATATCGCCAGAAGTGATTCCCTAAAGATGTATAAGCAAAACAAATAGTTGT